GCATGGTGCACTCTGACTGTTGACATTATTTGCATACTGATATGAGTAAAAGTGACTTCAACAACCAGAATGTATTTTTGATAAATTTTTGTAATAACAGGTTAGTAAATATAATTATAATAATAATGGTAATAACTTTTTATTGTTAGAACTAGTGAGATACTTATGTATAATAGAACTGCATTAACTTTGGGGGACAAATATAATAATTTGAGTAAATATTACCGTTGTTTATAACCTTAATTAGGGTAATGTAAGAAAATATTATTTTTATCTAAAGAATATTCGGCAAAAGTCAGTATGTCCTAAGTATAAAATATTATTAAAAAACATGTGTTTAAAAAAATCTATCATAAAATAAAAAAATAAGTATTTGAGTATAAAAAAAACACATTTATTATTATAATGTATATAAATCATAATAACTATGTTGTCTATAAAGTAGAATAATACATTATAAATATTTTATATAAAAACATATAGAAATTTGTTCAATGAAAATCTAAAATAGTGACAAAATTTAAACATACATGCAAAAAATTTTTAAATAAAATTTGTGAAAAGCTATTCCTTTTTATAAATGTTGCCGTCAGAGCCTAGGCCTAGGACAATATTTGGGGACCCAAATTGGTTTATTAGAAATTTGTTTAAAAAGTAGTGCCCAAAAATCTAATTTTTAATTATCTTAAGGAGACCAACTATCTTTTGTTCAAAAAAAGTACACTTTGCGAGTATTTCATAGGTGAAAAAAAAAAGGAAAAAAACGATAAAAACTTTATTTTCTTTCAAAAATATATTTTTCTTCAGAGTGGATTTTTTTTGTTAAATGAGGATGTTCGTCTGATAATGTAGTCGCATCCGATCATATTAAATTGCATATTAAATTTGACTTTTAAGATAATGTTTTCACAGAAAGTTGCAACTTCTCACTGCTCCAATAATCATTCCTTAATGAAAATACCCTTTCAAAAGCAGCATTAGTGCCTAGACAACATAAAGAAATTTCTATTAAAACCTTTAAATTTTATTGTCGGGTATGTTCTACTCTAAAATGCCGTAAAATTTCTACCTATTCTTTGTCTCTTCTAAACTTACTCTTCGAATTTCTTCAAAGAGAAAATTTTCATTAATAACAATATCTTTTACTTCCTTCATTACAAATTAGACTGCTGAAGAAACATCTTTCCATTCAATTTTACTAGTTTTAAGGGTCCATTTGAAACAATTCAATGCTCTAAAGTTCATTATCCATTCTTCGATAATTTCATAGCAAATTTTGTAAAAATTTTTAATTTCTTTTAAAAGTTCATTTTTTGTTCCGGGATTGGAATCTTCCAAAGCTGTCAGTTATAATATAGGCTTAAATATAGCCTTTAATATTGTAAGTAGTAGTGTATGTATATATTCTTTTGTTTAAATTTGCCTTTAATTAACATTTTTATATTTTTTCTGCAAAAATTGTTTTCTGTCACTCTATCCTTCTGAACTTATGTGATTAAATTTTTGCTTTCTCTTACATATTTTCTCACTCATCTTATCTCATCCGTTCATTTTCATTTTTCTTAGCGTTACTCCTATATATTTTTGTTCTAATTCCAAATTTTTTAATATTATTGTTTCTTAAAGTTCTTTTTTGTTTACTTGTATTAATGTAGTTTACTTTCTTTATTATTTCTTTGTTTTAATATTTTTTTTATTTTATTTGTTTATTTTATTAAGGTGTCGCTCCATTGACTAGTTTTTAATATGAGTGACACCGAACATAAATTTGTAAATTATAATTAAGTTTGTAATTTTTGATTTTATGGTTATTTAACGATAGGCGCATGCGTAGTGTGTACAGTAAAGTTTTTTTTATCCCTTTATATTATTAAATAGATGGATAAAAAAACTTTGTTGTACATACTACGCATGTGTCAAGACTGTCAAGCATGCCGTACACACTGCACATCAAAGATCAGCAGTATGTACTGGGGATTACATACACAAGTATTGAAGAGATAGATATGTCCATCTATTTTCACAAATGTAATTTTAACGTTGTTTGAAAAAAAAAGGTCTGTAGTATCTATTTATCTCTCCAGTTACATAATACGGCCTCCCAATTGTGCTGAAAAAGGCAGCCATAAGTGCGTTCAAAATTTAAATCTCTGTTAAACTTGTGTCTCGTATTTGCCCCGTCCTCTGACGTGCTGGAAACGACAAGCAATATGCGCGCGTGAAATTCAAACCATTGTCAAAATAGTTTTAAATATTTAATTAATGAGTTTGAAATGAAATAATCTTAAAAAATGTTTTAAAAATACAAATGAGTACAAATTTATACAAAGAAGTACTTTCAGAGTACAGAATTTGAAAAGAATACGGTTTGTGAAAGAAGAGTCCAAAACTCAGTAAATGAGAATAGTTGGTCACCTTAATTATGACACCTGTCACTTTTCAAATCCTTTTCACACAAGGATCTTATATCAACATATAACATTTTGATAAAACTTATTGCAGAGATTTTAAAAAATAAACAGCGAGCGCATTTTCTAACAAGTTTATATTGTCTTAAATATAATTATGGCTAATGAAACAATAGACTTTGAGTTGCTGCGTTTGAATATCTTTGAAATTGCTAAAAAATCTTTACCACACAACAATTGAGTTATGTCCCCCGATGTATTCGTAAACCTTTACAAGATTAAACCCCAAAACAAATATAACCTACGTAATAATAGATTTTAGAAAAACCTTTTTGCAATAATAAACAAGCTCAATTTTGTATATCTTATCGTGGACCTTTTCTCTAGAATGAAATAGTACGGCCTAATTTTTTTATTTTTTTATCTAAATTGACCTATTCCTTTTTTAAAAAATCTATTAAAAAAATCATTTTTTCAACAAAAAATATTTTTGATTTTTTTTGATTTAAAAAAAAAAAAATTTAATTGCTATACTGCGTAATGATTTGTTATGTTTTATTTTGAGTTTCACTTCTGAAGTATGTAGTGTCAAATTTATGATATATTTAGTGATTATATATTCTCGGTATATATTTATTGTATATAATATATAGATGTTTTTATTGAAGAAGAAAATAGAATTTTGTTAAGGGCTTCGTGATGAGATCATTACAATCTTCTTGAAGTCCTGTCCGTATAATATTATAAATCTTGATGTAAATAATATTATACGGCAAATAAAATAAAATAAAAAAAATATATAAATATATATATATATATATATATATATATATATATATATATATATATATATATATATATATATATATATACATATATATATATAATATATATACCTATAATTATATATATATATATATATATATATATATATATATATATATATATATACATATATATATATAATATATATACCTATAATTATATATATATATATATATATATATATATATATATATATATATATATATATATATGTATATATTGCTTTGTAAAAACTTGCAACGATTGGAGCCTGGGAACAAAAAGCTCTAAAATTTTAGCAACACCTGTCTCAAACGTAAGAGCAACAAATTAATAAAATAATTTTTATACTACTTTTAACTAAATCTTTATTCATCAATAAATTTTAAAGTTCACGCAACATTCTTTTAGGATTTAAAAATTATGACCATGAAAAGTTTGAACTCCCCTCAGTTTGAGGGGGCCTCAAATTTTAGTGTGTAGCTATCACTCTTAGACACAAGTGTGGAGTGATTTCACATACTTTTGTGGAAATTAATTTTTTCTAACTTGACTTCTGTACAGAAGTGTGTAGTTATTTGCACAAAACTGTGCAAAATACCAAAATACCACACTTGTGTCTAGGAGTGTTAGCTACACACTGGTTTAGAGAAAAACTCCACACGCGAGTGTGTAGTGTGAATTTTCAGCGTTTAGTGCCACAGGGTCTGTATGTTTTGTGATATTATTGTTGTGATGTTTTGTGTTGATAGACAACTTGGCTTACCTTCTCGGTGTCTATCGTTAAAAATAATTATTAGGTTGTTTCGTTAATGAAACTTGCTACTTCTAATCATTAACTAAAAGCTAAGAAATAAGTTGTAGAATAGCAATGATTTTTATTTTAATGTTGTTTTTGTTTATTTTTTATCTTAGGTGTTGTCGATAGTTTACATAAATTTTCTCAAAGAATAAGTTTCTCATTTTATATTTGTTTAGTTTTAAATATTATTTTATAGTTTTTATTTTATTTTTGATTTGAGCAGCAGTGATTTGAGCGCAGTGGCGCAATGGTTTTATTTTTGATTTGAGCAGCAGATTTGAGCGCAGTGGCGCAATGGTTAATGTTCTGGATCAGAACTTAAAATAATTTTTGGTTAAATAAATGGAGAAAAAAAAAAAATAAAAAAACCAGAGGTTCAAAGTTCGACGCCCAGCAAAACATTGGAAGGAGGCGTGAACTTCCTGTTAAATACTCTCCCGCGGTGCACTATGATAAGACCGTAAGGACCTCTGGGAGTACCTAAATACATACAAAAAAATATATATATATATATAAAACAAAATAACAAATACTTTTTAAAATTTATTGTCCATCTGTTGTTTAATAATTATTTTTTTTTATAATTTTAGATAGAGTTTCTGCTGTTACACCTGCTATTGCTGATGTAAGTAATAAAACTATCAGGAAGCTCTATTGATGTAAATTATTTTCTTTTAAATTTAAATTATCAATTTATTTATTATCTTCTGTATGTTAAATAGGTATTTCTGAATGTTTCAGATAGATTTCAATGTTCTTACGCAGTAATTTACTAATCGGTCTGTAAATTAAGCAAAAGTTTTTTAAACAGATGAATTAATTAAATTCTGTGATTCTTTATGCATCTTTACATTGAGTTTTTATAATATAACTCGAGATTTTATTCCTCAAGATTAGCTAAATAAGAAAAACACTTCAGTCCGTAAAATTAATGATTCTAGATAATCCCGAAAAATGTAAAAAAAATTATGGTATTTAATTTTCTAACAGTTTTGTATCCCTATCAAAATTTTCAAGTCAAATGTAATAACAGTTGGAAATTATGAAAAAGGTCCTCGATATTGAATTCGATAAGAACTGATTTTTAGATTAATTCTCGGAACAATAACGTTATCCTCTGAAAACTTTGTTGAATACTTATGAGATATTTCGCTAAAACAAGATTGAAATATAAGTGGAGATATTTCATGTTTCATTTTAAACATCAAAAGTAATGTTTGGTAAATGTTTAGCTTATAAATGTTTAAGGCCTTGAGACAATTTAATAGCGGTTCGCAATAAACTGTTATAATAAATCTGTTTGCCCCAAATACAATCCTACAAGCATGCTTTTGTTTACTATAAAGTTTTTTGAGTTTTCCGTAATTCGTACTTCCCCATGGAATGTTGCAGTAAGAAAGAGACCTGTGAGTAAATGAAAAATAAATTTTTATTAGAGCTTTTGGGTTTAAAAATGGTTTTGTTTTATAAAGTACGGAAATATTATAAGAGATTTTACTTTCAATAGATTGGATGTGAAACTTCCATGACAAGAATTACGCCTAAAAAGTTAACAATAGATTCCCTTTTTACATCTGTTTTATTGAATAAAAGATTTGGCAGTTTAAGTGGAATATTTTCAACTTTATTTGGTTTGTGGAACATGATGAATTTAGTTTTATCTACATTTAGTGAAACGCGGTTACTTATAAACCATTCATTTACTATAAATAATTCTTCATTAAAAATTTTAAAATGATTTTTTATATCTCTGTGTGAATAAAACAGATTGGAATCGTCAGCAAACAATATAAGATATACTTTTTTAGATGCTAAAAATAAGTCATTTATATACACTAGAAACAATAATGGTCCTAAAATAGATCCTTGAGGAACCCCGCAACAAAAAAAAACAACAAAGTTTTTTTTTGGTTTCATTTGTTTCATAGGTTATGCATTGTTTTCTGTTAGTCAAGTAATTTTTAAACCAAAGTAAGTTTAAGTTGTTTACCCCATAAAGTTCTAATTTTTTTATAAGAACTTCATGATTGACAATGTCATCATAATCTTTATCAAACGCATCCGATATATGGTTTACAAGCTCAATTACCGCGTAATCCGTAGAATGATTTTTTTAAAACTCAAATTGTTTGTTTTTAAACAGAAGATTATTTGAAACTAAATGATTATAAAGCCTATTGTACATAATGCGTTCTTGCAATTTAGAGAAACAAGGTAATACAGAAATAGGTTTGAAGTTTGAACCATTTGTTTTTTCACCTGACTTAAAAACCGGTGTGATTTTGTCTATTTTAAGTTTGTCTGGTACAATACCAGACGTTAATGAGAGATTAAAAATGTGAAACAATAAGGGTTCAATAATATCAAAGACTGATTTAACTACATTGACGCTAATTTTATCTATGCCTGCAATTTTGTTATTATTCAGAAATTATGCTCCTCACTTATATTTAAATTTAGTTCTGTCATAAAATTATTTGCTGTTTTGAGGTAAGTATCAAATTTTATGGTACAAGATGGAATTTTAGTCGTCAGATTTGGACCGATCTCAAAAAAAAAAAACTGTTTAGCTTGTCAGCTATGGTTTCTTTATCATAAACAACTTTTTCATCAATTAATAGTTTTTGTGGCAAATTGTTTTTAATTGAAATATTTTTGCCAATTATTTCTTTTACTATATTCCAAGTTTTTTTTGAATTTCCATTACTTTTTTCCAATACCTTTTTATAATAAGATTTTTTTGAAAATTTTTTGGTTTTTTCAAACAAACTTTTGTAGTTTTTGTATATTATTTCATTATGATATGTTTTATGTCGTAGATATTTTTCATATAGTTTTTTTTTTTTTGAAGATTTGATTAAACCTTTTGTCATCCACGGATTCAAAATAGACTTAGAATTTAAATTTTGTTCGATTAAAGGAAATGCCTTATTATATTGTTTACTTAAAAACGCGAGGAATAATACATAAACATTATTTGCATTTTGTGTTTTATACACTAAGTTCCAATCAACAGAATTTTTTAATAGATGGCGAAAATGTACTATGAAGTTTACATTGATTTTACGGACCAATATTTTTAATTTAATGGAGTTTTTTTTTTTGTTAATTTTTTAGGTGCCCCAAGAAGTCCTTGCGGTCTTATCACAGAGCACCGCGGAAGAGCATTTAATAGGAAGTTCACGCCTCCTTCCCAACCGATGTCACAAAAATTGCCCAGAGGTGGGGTTTGAACCACGGATCTTACGTTTCTGAGGCAAGTGAATTGTTTTTTAATGTTATGTTTTTAGTGGTTAGAAAGATAGGAAAATGATCACTTATGTCAGTTTTAATTATGCCTGTACACAGCATTTGTGAAAGTTATTTGTTATTAAGTTGTCGACTAATGTTGACGATGTCTTTGTTATTCTTGTTGCCTTATTTATTGTTGGAATAAAATTATATTGCAAAATGGTGTCAATAAAGCATTTAGCATCAATTTTTGATGCATAATTTAAAATGTTTATGTTAAAATCTCCAACTAAGTATACATGTTTCCGATTTTTACTGGTTTTTGTTAGAAAATTTTTATAGTTTAATTTGAAATTTTTTAAGTTTCCAGCTGGTTATCTATAAATAGAGTTTACGAAAACATTTTTTTCCTTTTTATTTATTATTTCATTGCATAACGACTCACAATCAGTTTCATTCACACAAAGATCATTACGCTGAATAAAATTTAATGAGTTGTGAATAAAAATACTCACCCCACCACCAGCATGTTTATGACACGATTGATGAACCGATGCATAAATGGCTAATTCAAATCGTGCGTTTTCTTCATTGTTTTTAAGCCACGTTTCTGTAAGGCAGATAATTTTAAAAAGTTTTCAAAGTTTTTACTCATACTCCGAATGTTCAGAGTAAATATTGAGAAAGTATTATTGTTCTGAGAAAGAAAATGAGTAGATTCAGAAATTGAAAATGACTCAGTTTCAAAGCTTTTTTCACAAAAAAAAATTTTATTATCACTTAGCTTTAAATCTTCGTAGTTAAATTTTGTAGAAAAGTTTTCCGCCATTTTAAAAACATAAAATTTTAAATAAAACAAAGAAAGAACAACGTAATATATATACATGAATAAAAAAGAGTTAAAATATAACGAACCTAATTCTTTTATCGATTGGAGGCCCAATCACGTATGATCAACCTATCGTGCGATATAACAGCGTATTTCCCAGATGTTCGTTCTACTTTCATCTTTTCTTTTAAAGCTCTTCTTATTTGTTTGGTCTCCGGACAAAAGTCTTCATTGGTGAAAATATTTTTTACTTTCAGATAAAAAGATTTTTTAAGAATTTCTGTTTTATCTTTGAAATCCAAGAGTTTTAGTACGATTGTTCTTGGCTTTTTTGCCAGTTCTGTGAGCTCGTTCTATTTTAACACTCTTTACATCTAGATAATCTTCTAATAATTTTTTTACCTTTGATTTGGTCTCTTCCCAGCTTTCGTTTTCATTCTCTTTTACACCGTCTATTCTTAAGTTATTTTGTCTCGAACGATCTTCCATTTCCCTTAACTTGTTTTTTATATTAAGGAATTCCGAATTTAGTTTAGTTGTTTCACTACCAGATGGATTTATCATTTCCTGATAACTAATTGCAGTTTTTATTTTAGCATCAACAAGCTGTTCATGAAAAATTAAGCTTAATTTATTTCTTCAACATCTTTTATTATTGACTTAACTCGTTTGACATTGTCGATTATATTTTTTTCAACTTTATCTAAGCGGTCATGAATTATTTTTGTGCTTGAACTTACAATGGCTAGAATGTTTATTTCTTGTTGCTTTAAGATTTCTTCAAATTGTTTTTGTAATCACTAAACATCTCCTTTAATATTTTTTTAATCTCATCTCAAATAACTGCCATAATTAACTTATATGATTGATAAAATCTCAATTCAATTATTTTGATAAAATCTTATTACATAGTTACTAAAATGTATCAGTTTGTATTTTTTCTGTAGTTTTATTGTTAAACTATTATTTAAAACTTTTTTTTTTTAATAACAACTTTTTAGATTAAAACAAAATTTACGCAATAAAAAAAACCCGTCCGTTCACTTCAGAAGGCGAGCAAAAAATTCAAATTGCCGAACTATGTAATCTTTGTGCAGTAATTTACAAACCGGTCTTTAAATTTTGCAATAAAATCAAAATGATGTATTTTTCAGATTCCATGATTCCATTATACATACCCGACGGGCATTTGTTTTTAAAAGTTACGTTCTAAATGTGTTTTAAACGTCTTTTAAACGTCTTTTAAACATTAATGTTTAAAAGGCGTTTTAAACATTGTTTTAAACAGTTTATAAACAGTAGTTTAAAACAGTCTTTTAAACATTAATGTCTAAAAGACGTTTTTAACATTGTTTTAAACAGTTTATAAACAGTTGTTTAAAACAGTCTTTTAAACATTAATGTTTAAAACAAAAACGTTTTAAAGACGTTTAAAACACATTTAGAACGTAACTTTTAAAAACAAATGCCCGTCGGGTATTTGCATATTTTATATTTTATTTTCTTAAAGTTGTTTAATCACCATGAAAAATTTCAAGTCAAAAATAAAAACGATTCAAAAGTTATGAAAAAGTCAGTGAGAACCTAAAAATGTATAAATTAGTTCAAAATCTGTAAAATAGGTGATTCTTGAGAATCCCGAAAAATTTACGAAAAATTTTTGGAATTTTATTTTTTTATAGTTAGTAGGTCACAATAGAAAATTCCACGTCAAATGTATCAACTTTTAAAAAGTTATTCAAAAGTCAGTATGACCCCAAAAAAATATAAATATGTAAAAGGCCTTAGTCTGTAAAATAAAAAAAATAGTGAAATGGATTCTGATCATTCCCGACTGATTTAAAAATAAATAAATTTGGAATTTTTTTTTTTATAGTTGGTTGGTCACTATGGGAATTTTAGTGCAATAACCAACCCAATTTTCCATACTTAAGCCTTACACCTTTTGTAAAAAAATCATCAATTTTTCCACTACAAAAAAGTTCAATAACGTTCAATCCGCATAACTTCAAAATCCAAATGACCCCTCATTTTACATCTACAATTAATAACTATATAAATTCTTAATAAGAAATTTAAGAATTTATATAGTTTTTATCATACAATCAAAGTTTACAGGTCAAAATTTATTACCTGATCTGAATCCATGATTGTGTCAAACTCTTTAATATAAATTTCTTCATCAGAAGCTTTTGTTTGTTTTGTATTTCTTGAGGTAGGTGATAAAACAGAGTTATCAATACCTCCTATTTGAAACTTTTTTTTAGTACCAATTTTCTCCCTTTGGTCTTTTAAATAGGAGCGCTCTTCCAAAGGAACCTAAATAAATATTTCTGGTTTTAAATATTATTTTCAATTAATTTGTGTAAAACGTATTACTATCTAAAAATATAAAAAATAATAATAAAATATAAAAAAGTTTATCAATAAAATTTAAATAAGTTGTTTAAAGTTTAATTTAAAATAAATTACTTTAAATTTGTTTAACTTACTTTTGTACTACCAACACAACTACAGTAAAGATGCACATTTGAACAACCTGAGCATTTGATATTCCTGTCATCACAAGGAAAAACTTCAAGCTTGCAGTTACATGCTATCAGATCAAAAAGTTTTTTCTTTATTTTTTTCAAACAATTTTTTGGTCAAAGGTTTAATTTTAATTCTATTCCGAGAAATAACATTATAATAAAATCTTAAAAGTTTAACAATCAAACATTTTTCAGGTAACAAAACTAATTTGGAATTGCAATTGAACCATACAGAGGCGGATGAAAATATCTTGGGGCCCGGGGCTGTTTTTGTTTTTGGAGGCCTTTTTATAGAGCAGAGCCTAAAAATGACATAAAAAAAGGGAAGGTCCTCTAAAATTTTTTGGGGTCCCTAAAACAGCGGGGCCTGGGGCTATAGTCCCCCTAGCCTCCCTTGATCCGGCAATGGAACCATTTTTCTTTTAAACTACAAAGCGTTCTTTGAATAACAACATTTTTGTCTTTAATACCATCTAAATCTTTTAATTTGTAGAAAAATCTTGCTACATCACCATAAGTTGCTAGATCTGTAATAAGAAGATCAGAAGGGCTACCACCATATAAATTACACCGCCTAGTACTTTTTACAGGAGGCATTTTTATATTATTGTAACAAATTAAGTTTGTTAATATAGTTAATATATATTAAAGATTTTATAACTCCTTAAAAATAACATAAAAACGCTTTTGCAAGGTTCAATCTACAATTTGATACTCTACTTTTTGGTTTATTTACATTTTTTTAAGGCCGGATGTCATAATACACAGGGTGTCAACTCAAAACAAACTTAAAAAAATGTACAAAACTATTTTTAAAAAACACAATTAAATAACTGAAAAATGTGTTTTTTATAATCATTGAATCAATTATGCACAAAAAATATATTTTTCAGTTTTTTTAGTATGCCTTTCAAAACAGTCCTTTCTAGTTCTTTCAGTTTATCCAGCAGAGTGAACACCCCGATATATCCAATAAAAATGGCAACTTATAAGAAATTATTTAAAATAAGAAAGCTTCTACTCAACTTTAAAAGTTACTTTTTTTGCTAAAATTATTTTATAAGATTATTACTCCAGCTTGTGATAAATTTCCAGAAATTGCTGGTCTCTAATGGGCAGTTGAATTATTAATAACACTAAACCTCTTTTGTTTTTCATTAGTAAAATAAACTTTTATTTTAGCTTTGTCAAACAAAGTTATTAAAATAAAAACTTTATTAAGATGCACGTGAAAAATATATATTATTGGCTATAAATTCAACTTGTTCAGATTTGCAACGAAGTCAACAAAATAAGGAATTTTGTGAAAATGTTTACTTTAGTCAAAAAGTGCTTAAATGTGTGCTTAGACATTTGATTTAAAAATGTTTTTAAATTATCACGAAAATAAAAAAACATGTTTTAAAACTTTGCCTCTAGACAACCCCTTCACATCAGTGTGAAATAACAGAATATTATTGAATGCTACTTAAAGCACAACCTTATACGATAATCACGGCATTTACAATGTTTTTCAGAATTTCTTGAAATTCTTGTAGCAAAGATTTAATTGCTAATTGTACAGTGAGTTTCGATGACAGCCGGCCATAAACCTAAAGATCATATAAACAGAGTATATAACTTTTAATTAATCATAACGTTTTTATTAAAATTTTATCAAATTTATGGCTTTAAATTGTTTGCAAAAGTAAATAAAATATAATTTCTTTAAACATTTCAACTTAGTAATACAGTATAAATCATTTTAGAGAATTATAGTGATAAAATTATAAACTGAACCAAATTACACCAGAATGGAGTATAAAAGAGATTTTTTTTTTTTTGAGGCCCTGGAAGTGCTTCAAGCAATTTTTAATTACACCAAATGTCACTTAAAATGTTACCTTAAGATATACTCTGCAAGACTACACTTTATTATTTAGAAAGAAATGTGTTGTTAGAACTGCGAAGCTCAAAGAATAAAAAGAAAAGCAACCAGCCTTGTCCACCCCTGTTGCTGAATATATTTGTGTTAACAATCTTTAGTATTTACTGAATTTTAGTATTTCGCCGTTATATCATTTGTCGATTTATAATTTAAAGTTTGAAGTTAAAATCATTAAAATAAGTGAACAAATAAAAAAAAAACTAAAAAAAACATATACCTTCTTTTTTTAATGAGCTGCTAAATAGACCATTTCCCATTTACTTGTAGAAACCATATAATAAACTTGTAAAACGATAAGAAATATGTTAATACCAAGAAAATATCTTTTTAAAAATATATATAAATTTAATATATATAGACCCATAGTAAGGTTAAAAAGACCCGTTGTAAGGTAAAAAGTAGTTCTAGTTTTAATGGCTTTTAAAAACTGCTTTAGTTACTTTTAGAATATGTTGTTGAACTATTCGATGTACATAATGATCTGTTAAATAAGTATTATATATATTCATATATTAAAAACTTTATTTTTATGGTTAACTATTCACTGAGATTAGCATTAAATGCTGATTAGGGATTCCAGAATCATACAACCTAAGTTGAAAATAAAATATACAAAAAAACATGGTCTCAGAAATTGATCATTTTTACAAAATTAAATTTTTTTTAAAAATATGTTTTTGTACACAAGTTTATGTCTACACCATAAATCAAAAGAGAATTATACTCAAAAAAAGAAGAAATAAAAACAAGAGTCACTTGATCTGAAACCACCTAAATTACTTTAAAATTAGATATACATAATTAAAAATAAATTTAAAATGGAAATTTTATAAAAACTAAAAAATCAGAAAAATAAATAGTAAAAGTATTCTCAAAAGTTTTATTTTTCGTGAAATTTCATTTAACCACTTTTTTGAAACTCTTGTTAATACATCTGCTTTGTTTTTAGAAGACGGAACCCACTTCATTATGATGTTCGTACTGTATTTCTTTATTAAATCACGCAATAATAAAAGTCTTCGTTTGATAAGCATTTTTGATAGTCCATTTGACCGAACCCTATGACTTTCAGTCAGCACACTTTTTAACCATCCATGAACAGTTACCGAGTCGGTAAATATCGATAGGTTCTTGATGTCCCACTTAACAGCTAGGATTATTCCACGCACCACAGTATCTAATTCAGCCATATTAAAATGCATGACATAATTTATACTTTGTAGCCATGCTGCATCCTCAACTATTATGCCGTTATATTCAATTGCAACACCCATTGCAATACTACTAACATCACACCACAATATTGCTCCATTTTGAATACCATCAGCATTCCATGTCCCTTTTACAGGATCACTAGCTTACAAACGGCGCATTATTTCGACCAACCATGACTGTGCTTGATCTCCTATTAGATTATCTTTAGCATCTCCATGACTATAACGTTTTGTAAAACTGCAGGCAATTCTGAGCCAGTTTCTAATTGGATAGTGTCCAATAAAGTGACCACATATTGAAAACAATCTCTAACGTGTTATTTTTTCATTTTCGATGTCTTCTGACTTTGAAATGATATTGCCGCGTTTCCAACAAAGCACTTTATAATCGTTTCTAAATATTTGCTAACCCAAAACTCGTGCACCATCACATTCTTCCGGCTCTTTTTTTAACAAACCATACCGTTCCAAATAATTTACGACATTTTCAACCGATGTCTTTTTCAAATCAACGATTATGTCGTCGATATAATGGTCAGTTGCTTCACCAATACCTGCATCAAGACTTAGCACTTTGCCTAAGATTGACGACATAATCTTTGAAAGAAATTACGACATGATTATACTAAGCATTTGTAAACGCTATTAAATTATAATAGCGTTTACAAATTAGCTATTAACACTAAGTGTAATAACTTTTAAAATTATGCTTCACTAGTATTAGTCTCGACGCAACGTGTAACTTTTTCTTGGAAATGAAGTACACATTACAAAAACTACTTAAATAGTTTAATATTTAAATTTTGAATGAGAAAAACTTTAGGTGCCTTTCTAAAAGTGCTTAAAGTGTCACATTTGGGCCCTTAATTCGTACTGATGACGTCATTTTGAATTTTTTTTTTTAAAAAAATCAAACTAAATAAAACATATTTTCGTCAAAAGTTAGATAAACTCTTAAGAAAACCTTATAATAAATAGTAAAATCTTGAAAAAAACTTACGTGCCTTTCTGAAAGTGCTTAAAGAGTCAAATTTGATTAACTTTATTGTTCTGAGAATAATTTTAAAAATAAGTTCTTATCAAATTCAATATCGAGGACCTTTTTTATGGAAAAATTTTATTTAAAACTTTAATAATAAACACTACTCTTTAGAAAAATTAAAAACAGTTTCTAAAAGAATCTTACTTCAATTTTTTTTTTTTTCTTCCGTGAACACTTTAGCGAACGAACGTGTTTATTATTGGCTAATAAAAATATTACTCAATTGCTCAATTAAAAGAAATTATGGATATTCACGAAAACACAATAATGAAGTTATTTAGCGATAGGATTGATAAACTAGAAAGCAAAATATTAGTTATGCAGTAAGAAAATAAAAATTACTATCGGATATAGATGTTTTTAAAAAAACAACAATGCCATATCAATTGAACAATACAAAAATGAATTTAGGAAACGATAACGTTAATAAAGATAAGTTGGCTGAACTTGAAGATAGGAGTCGCCGAAATAATTTGAGATTTAATGGTATAGAAGAAAAGGAAATTGAAACCTGTCAAGAAACTGAAGGTAAAATAAAACAACTTTTAAAAGATAAATTGGCATTAAATAGTAATATTGAAATTGAAAGAGCTCATAGAGTTGGAAAAAAGGAGTTGGGTGATAAAAGAAAAAATAGAACTATTGTTGTAAAATTTTTAAGCTTTAAAGACAAGAACGCGATTATGGAAAGGTTCGTAAAGGCTAAACTCTGGAAAGAAAATGTGTTTATAAATGAAGATTTTAATTAACGTACTATGAAAATAAGAAGAAAGTTATTCGCGGGTGTAAAAGAGCTACGAAGAAAAGGAAAGTAGGCTAAGGTAACTTATAATAAATTATTCACACGCGATTTTAAGTAAATTTTATTTTCATTTCATAGTTATAAAATTATTTAAATTCTAAATTCTAAAATGGATTCAAACCAACAAAATAGTTTCGAGTCAAGTTTATTTAACTTTTTTCAAACTAATGATTTTTTACTTGATAATGAATCCGATCCTGACATAAATTATTTTAGTGAAGCAGGTGTTCTGCAAAACTGCTCTTATTTTTATAACAATGAATTGAAAGATTTTCTTAAAGGGGATTTTCTTTATGTTATTCATTTTAATATAAGTAAAATTTTGATGATTTTCATAGTAATATAGAAAAAACTTCTGATATTTTTAACATAATATGAATTACAGAGTCATGGTGCTGCTCTGACGATGTTAAAATTCAAATCTCCATCTTCTTGGTTTTAATTTAATTTCTTTAGCGCGTAAAAAAAAAAGCAAGGTGGTGGTGTTATTTTTTTACGTGAATGAATGCTTGCGGTTTATTAACAGGCCAGACCTAAGTATTTCTGATGGCGATAAAGAGGTTTTAAGTATCGAAACTTCAACTAAAAATACCAAAAACATAATTTTAAGTTGTTGTTATCGCCCACTAAATGGCGTAGTTAAGAATTTTAATGCATTTTTACATAATTATATAATTAAAAAAAGGAAATTAAACTACATAATTGGTGATTTTAATTTAAATTGCTTTGAATACCATACTAATAATAACATTAAAAAAATTTACAATGGCATTTTTGAAATTGGAGCGATACCGTTAATAAATAAGCCTACCAGAATATCATCAACATCATCATCTATATTAGATAATATAATTACAACTGACGTTTTGAACTTATCATTAAAAAAAGGTATTATTAAAAGTGACGTCTTTGATCACTTTCCTATTTTTTTCTCCATAAACACAGACATCAAAAAAATTCTACACCAAAATAAACCTTTCATTAACGGAAGCGAATTGCATTGCTTTTAAGGAACAATTATCTTTACTTAATTGGAAACACATAGATTCTAATGATGCTAATTTAGCCTATAATTCATTTTTAATAACATTTTTTGTAATTTATGATATTAATTTTCCTCAACATAAAATATTAAAAAAAAATAAAGATTTTACGTCACCATGGATTACAAAAGATCTCAGAAAAAGTTCTAAAGTTAAGCAAAAGTTGTATATAAATTATTTAAAAACGTGAAGATTAGAGAGTAAGACAATTTATAAGAATTACGCTAAAAAATTTGAAATCCAAAGAAAAAATTTAAAAAAAAGATACTATATAAATTTACTAGAAAAGTATAAAGAGAATTCAAAGCAAACATGGCAAATTATAAGAGAAATTACAGGCATTAAGAAATTAATAGCTAGCTCTCTACCTAGAACTATTAAAATTGATAATAAAATATTTTATGATCCGAGAGTGGTAGCAAATAAAATGAATGAATTCTTTACTTCAGTTGGACCAAATTTAGCAAAGAAAATTTCTAATATAAATAAAATAATAAACAAATATAGTTTTCCTTTAGTATCTTGTCTAAATTCTTTTGAATTGTCTTTTGATGAATTTGATAGAGCTTTTAAAATGCTAAAGCAAAATAAAGCAGTCGGTCCTGATGATCTTAATGGAAACATTGTTATTTATTACTATGATATCATAAAAAATATTCTTTTTAAATTATATAAATGTTCAATTCAACAAGGATTTTTTCCTGATGAATCAAAAATAGCTAGAGTTTCACCAATATTTAAAGGTGGAGACTTACTTAATGTTAGTAATTACCGTCCAATATCTGTTCTCTCTGTTTTCTTAAAAATTATAGAGAGAATTCTTTATAATAAAATTTTGAATCATCTTTCTAAAATATTTAAGCAATAGAAAGCAATTTGTTCACTATGACGCATCATCGAAATCAAAATTGTTAGATATAACATGTAGAGTTCCCCAAAGGTCTGTCCTTGGACCACTACTATTTCTCATATACATAAACGATCTCTATGAAGCATCTAATTTAATGACAATTATGTTTGTGGACGAGACGAACTTTTTTTTATCTCATAGCAACATAGCGACACTATTTCAAAGTATGAAAATAAAATTAATTAAAATTTCTGAATGGCGATTTGGCCACGAGGATCGTTAGCTTTATAAGCTAGCGATCCGCTAGCTAAACAAGCTAGCGAATAGCTAGCGATATTCGTTACGATTAAGACAGCGATTTGGCCACGAGGATCGTTAGCTTTATAAGCTAGCGATCCGCTAGCTAAACAAACTAGCGAGTAGCTAGCGATATTCGTTACGATTAAGACAGCGATTTGGCCACGAGGATCGTTAGCTTTATAAGCTAGCGATCCGCTAGCACTAAGTCGTTACGATAAAGACAGCGATTTGGCCACGAGGATCGCTAGCTTTATAAGCTAGCGATCCGTTAGCTAAACAA